GGGGAGGCCCCTGACCTTGGCCAGCCGCCCCTCCCCCCGAGACCTCTGCTCCCTGCATCCGTCCGCTGCACGCACTGTGGGGCCAGCCAGGTGCAGTCCACCTGCGGAGGCTCCTGGCAGCGTTCAAGGCCTTCCTCAAGTCGCATGACCCTGCGGACCAGTCCTGAGCCCTGCTGGTCACCCCAACTCACCTCCGGGCTCACAGGAGGACTTGCTCCATTTCTGGAGAGAAACCATCATTTGAGGGCACAGCATGGGCACTGCAGACGCTCCCTGAGCGACTTCCACTGAAGAGGTGTTTAGGTGCCAGTTAGGTGCCAAAGGGCCGAGGTGTGGGAGCCTTGCTAGAAGTACAGACAAGCTGTTGCCTCTGGGAAAGTCGCTGGGCCGGTGCACAGCAGTCTCATCCGCAGGAGCAGGCACGGCAAGCTGCCCCCCCGCCGGCCCAGGCTCACAGAAGTTTCGTGGGCACACGGGCAAGCTGCCCCCTGCCGGCCCAGGCTCACAGATGTACAGTGGGCACACGGGCTGACACCCTGGTTCAGGGCGGTTCGTCTTCTGAAGTTCTCCCGAAGGCTCAGACATGCTGGCGGCTGAGAAGTCTGGCGCTGGCCCTTCACAAGCGCCCAAGGCATAAATCAAGGGGGGCCGGCCTATGGGGCGGGTTCGATGATTTTCAGTGGCCTAATGTAATTCGGAGATAGACGCCGGAGAGTGCAGTTTAACATTGTTATTGGGTTCTGTAGCTGGTCTCTCAAATATCAGGCGACCGGAGCCCCTGGCCTGGAGGAGCCCACCTGTGCTGGGCCCCGAGGGGTTACAAGGCTGCACGCGTGGGCATTGGGCCACGTTCCCATCCCATGGCCTGTCCAGGACCACGGCCGCTGGACCAATGGACTCTCCGGGATGCGTGGCCAGGCTGAATGCCTCATCCAGTGTTCTGTCCTTCCTCCCTGGGCCATGAAGGCTGGAGCGAGTGGGACAGCACAGCAGACAGCTGTGACCACACCCAGTGGGGCTGGAACTGCAGGACCAAAGCAGCTTGGGCCTGGCGGATGGATCGGCACGATCACCACCGAGGTAGGAGCTGAACCCCGAGCATGTGATCGGAAGGGCTGGGCACGGCCATGACTCACGGGCATTATCTGTCTCATCACAGCGGCTAATGCTTATAGAACAATTGCTATGCGGGTCCCAGGCTTGGTGCTAACACGCTGAGCACACCAGCTCCTGTCACCAGCGAATCACCCTCTTCAGATTTAAAGAGCCGATAGCTTCCCCAAGGCTGTGCCACTAACCAATGCAGAGCTGAGGACTGGAGCCCCGTGCCCAGCATTGGCCCCTGGCAGGGAGTCAGCCAACAGCCAGGTCACCTGCGTCTTGGTCTGCAGATGACCAGCCTGGCTTCCAGGACAGCTGCACTCCAGGGGCAAATCACAGCACTGACCTCGGCGCTCAGGACGCACTGGGATGGAGAAAGAAACCCAGCTGGCTCTGTCAGATGCCACCCCTGGGAGGCAGAACGGGCTGAAAATAGAGCCAAAGTTCCGCTCATTTGCATGCAGTTTCCATCCGATTTGCATATCGTGTGCCAGAGTCGCTAACTCCAGGATTATAAAATCAAATGCATGAATGAACTCGTGTACCCTGTTCCAGGACAGACAAGACATAAAACCTAGAAGCTATTAAGGAAAAGAGAGTAAGTTTGACCTCATGAAGATTTAAATTTTCAGTGCAAAAAAAAAAATAAAGTCAGAGCCAAATGACCTGCCCACCCATGGCCAGCGCACATTACATCATTGTCAGGCCTCTGAGCTAGAGCTACAGCTCCCTGAGGACAAGGCTTTCCTTTGATGGCCCATCTGAAATCCCAGAGCCCGAGGCCCGTGGGAACATCAGTAGTCGACAAGGAGTGAGTCATGGGGAGCCGCGAAAATATCTGCCATCTAGGAGGGCCAAGGGGCACTTTCCCTAAGACGTAGAGTTTTCAAGTTGAAAAGGTTGATGGCCAAATCAAGAAATGGACTGAAAAAAGAAATGATTTGAATCCCCCCACCCAGAAAAAGAAATTGGAGGAGATGGACAGGCAGTAAAGCACACAGGTGGGAAGACGCTGAGACCCCGGGGAGGGAGCGAAGCAGGGGCAGGCCAGCCGCCCGGAGAAAAGTGCGTCACTATACACACGAATGTGCCTCTGTGTGACTAGGAAGGGTCCAGGAGGAGCACCTGACATGTCCCTGTAGATGTCTCTCAGGAGTAGGATGGGTTATGGGGGGAGGGAGAAGAGTGGGAGGGAACGTTTATTTCAACTTTATTTTTTAAAAATATGTTTGTATTGATTTTTAGAGAGAGGAAGGGAGAGGGGGAGAGAAAGGAACATCAATGAGAGAGAAACATCATCGATCAGCTGCCTCCTGCACGCCCCTCCTGGGGACCGAGCCTGCAACCCGGGCATGCGCCCTGGCCAGGAATCGAACACATGACCTCTTGGTTCTTGAGTCAATGCTCAACCGCCGAGCCACACCGGCCGGTCTACTTTACTCCCTTCTCTTCTGTTTGAAATTTCACCATGAAAAAGTATTTTCTTATGATGAAAACCAGTTATTTTTTAAAAGTGGCTCTAGTTCACGAAGTCTGTGTTCACTGCGCGGCCCAGTGAAATTCACACATCAGGTTAACCAGCCCGCCCCTCCCGAGGCGAGGCTTCAGCACACGCGAGGGCTGGAGAACTTCCTCCCGGGGCTCTGACTCCAAGGACTGAGCTGAAGGGACCCTCTGACCAGCTGGTGAGGGGTATGCACGTCCCCAAGGAGGCCACGAGGGAGCGGGCTGGGCAGGCAGAGCTCGCCCGTGCTCGTGTCCCTCCACCAGGCTGGCATCTGCGGCCTGCAGTGCATCCTCAGGAAGGGCTTGTGGCAACATTCCCCCCGACCTGCTGCACACTGGCACCTCCATGGGCGCCCTTTGCTCTGCAGAGTCAGTTTTGCTGGATTCAGTTCCTTGCACAACAGAAAATCTTAATTATTCCATTTCCTCCCATCTAAAGCCCAGCCTTTGAAAAGCATGATTTGCCCCCATAGATACCTCAAGGGCTTTTTCCTCTAAAATCCGGTATTTTTACTACAATGTTCCCTGGTGTTGGTCACTCTCAGGTACTTGCCCCTAGCAATGCGACCGTGTGTTTGGTCTTCTCTGATTTAATCATTTTCATTCCTCTTATACCACCATCTGCTGTGTGTTTCGCTGTGTTCCTTCTGATTTAGTCTTAATTCCCGAGGTGGTTTTTTCATTAATTTCTAATCCTTTGGGTTCTGTCACCTCATCTCTGAGTTTTCCTAAGTCTGTGCTTTTCTTCAGGTCTTGGTTATTTCTGCCTGTTTTGCAGGCACATCTCTGGCTTTTTCTCACTGTCTGCAAGCTATTCTAAGCTTTGTATGAACTCAACTTTGATACCTTTCTGATGCTTATTAAGTGTTTAAAAAACATGTCCCCTTGCTTCAGCCTGGGTCTTCTTTCCTTCCTGTCTCCTGTCCTGCTTAATTCTCTTCCAAGTTTTTCTTTCACTGGAGGGGAGCCCCGGCAGGTCAGTTTGGGGACTTTGGAAGAGCTAGGCTGCTCCCACCACTCAGACCTCCCACCGGAAGGCGACAGCCCCGACCTACCCAGCCAGCAGGCTGACTGGCCATCCTGCCCCCCAGTGGGCACCTGCCAGCTGTGCCGGGGCCCCAAGCTCTGCTGTTTCACATGTGGGTCCTGTGACTACTGCCATCTGTCCTCTGCTTGGAGCGTATGGGACACACTATCGCCTAGTTTTGCTGGTGGAACACATGTAACGTAACTGCTATTTTCACCGTTTTACACACACAGCTCAGCCGTCCACAGGCCACAGGTTTTGCAATCAAGTTGCTGTTTCCATGTGGGGACGCCACCATCACCTTCCCAGAGTCCCCAGCTGTGCAAAGCCCCAGCTTTTCCAAACACACTGACTCACTGGTGTGCTCACAGCATTTTAATGAGAACTGCTGCCTGACCCGGGACCAAGACACCCCGTGGCTTGGGCTCTGTCAACGTTTCGTAGAGACCTGCTGGGAAACATCAGGTATTTAAGGATAAAGGTGTATTAGAGGCTTGATGGCCCCATGTGGAGACACAATGACCATCTGGGACACTCCATCTCACTGCAACACTCTTGGGCCGTCAAGAAATGCACAATAGGTAACAGACCTGTTCTTCAGGCTGCCTCTGCTGCCACCACGAGAACCTGATGCTGACCCGAGGCTTGGGGAAGCAAGCCTAACGGAATGACAGGCGAGAGACACTAGAGCACGAGGGATTCGAGTAAGAGACGCTTCCCTTCGGGACAGATCGGCTACGTCACCCGTGGGTCATTTCAGTGCCAAGTAGGAATGCAGCCCGTTAGCTCTCTAGATTCCTGGTGGACAAACTCCTAGCACAGGCTGAGCCGGACATGCGGGCACACTCAAGGCATCACCTGCTCCCTGCCCCAAGTCCCGGCCGGTCTCCTCGGCCAGTCCCCCACCAAGGACAGATGCTGACTAGGAGAGCAGATGAGCTCACAGCTCCTGATGGGAGGCAGGCAGGGTGCCCTGCGCTCTGCCCCATGGCCACCCCACCCCTGCAGGCCCAGTGGGGGGCTGGGGAGAAGGGGCACTCAGCCCATCTGATCTGCTCTGAGGCCCCCTGATTAAAGGAGCCATTGTGTCACTGAAAAAATATCACAGCGGGCATCAAGCCATGATTCGTGTTGACTCTGATCGTGCATTTAAGAAAAACTAAGCAAGTCTCTGGCACCACGGGAAGAGGCCCCGGCTTCACTTCCTGCTGGGCAGTCTGAGCCGGTGAACCATCCACCCAGGCGACCTCACCTGAACTTCTAGAACACCAGCAAACACTCGGGCCCCAGGGTCTTGCCTTCCTTCAATCTCTAGTCTCTAAAGAACGACACTCTTCCACGGAGACTCCACAGTAAGAAAAAGACATTTTTTCTTTAAACAGTTCACATTTATTATTGATAACAATAAAAAAATCTTGTAAAGACTATCAGTATTGTATTACCAAGAGTGAGGTAATATGTTTACAAAACATTTACAGAATCTGATATGTAAATAATGCATTTAGGGAAAAGAGAGAATTAAGAAACTAGTAATAGAGGGAAACCAAAGGATCATTAGTGCTGGAAAAGGCAGGGGGACAGCAGCTTAGAAGGACATAGGGCATCGAGAGGGGACGGGACGTGGTGTCACCGAGGCACAGGCCCACGGCTCCACATAGGAGAGCAGGCGTCACTCGGGAGCAGCTGCAAGCACGTGCCAGGCCTGCGCTCTGGGCGCTTACAGATGCACTCAACCCTCCGGGGGTGAAACACTGCCTCTTCCCAATCAACTTAAAAAGAACAGATCTGCAGATAGGGGAGGAGGGAAATGGCTGTGATTCAAATAGGTCTACAAACATCCCTGGGCTGCTGTGGACTGGTGCCTGGAGCGTTTTCTTGGCAGCTGTCAGCAAAATCGCCATCTGAGACACAAAGAGAGAGAGAGAGAGAGAGGGAGAAAGAAGGGACCATCTTCAGGTCCTTATAACTTGGAAGCAAGAAGCCCCGACTGGAAGCAGCACTAACCCTACTCTGCATTCTGGGAAGAAGCCTTTAGGTGCCACTGACTACAGTCAGGAGCTTCCCCTTCAGAGGAAATGCACAGCTGTTCGGAGGGCCAGCGACCACGAGGAGCCCACGGCCCCGGCTGGCAGTGTGAGCAGGTGGGAGGGCTGCTCACTGCTTCTGCACCCTCCCGATGCCTCCACAAAGCTCTCTAGCCCCTCGGACGTCCAGAGCAGACTGAAACCCATGTAGCCCCGGAGGTGTGTGCCCCTCACACAATGGCATCATCTGTGGGCTCCAGCACCCAGCTTCAAGGGCACAGCATGTGCCGCACCCATCACCACACAGCATGTCTTTACTAACTGCTCTTCCCATAAAAAGCCAAAAACCGAGGGCAAATATAAGACAGGCTAGTCATCATGAGTGGGCCTAGAAAGAAAGCGTGAGACAAACCAAGCTCCTACCTGCTTTGCTTCTATGAAGAACCTGTTACATGGACAAGGTCCTATGCACCCAGCCCAGCAGGCCCCACACTGCCACACGTACTCCCACAAGTCCTTTGAGAGACGCAGGGCTCCTACACGCCACACAGTACCCTGAAGGGGCCCACCGTGAGGTTGCTGGTGAGCAAAAGCGCACATTGGACAGTTTCAAAACGGCAAATGCGACCGTCTTCCAAATGCCCTTCTAGAGACTAGCAGGACCACCTGGGCTTGAATGCTACGACGCTCTGAGGAGTGTGGGCAAGACAAGTCTGCAACGAGCTCAGAACTAATGTGCAAGCAGGAAGAGCCACACGCCAGGAGAGAAAGGATGCCCGCAGCTCACTCATGCACAGGGAAGTCCTGCTCGGAGAGTACCAATGAGATTAGAATGGAGAGAAGCAATCGTGTTTAACGATGGCGGTGTTTTCCTGATGTCACAGGAGCCCGGACCCACCAGCGCCCACTTGAGAACCATGGATCCATGTGGCCCAGGGGCCGGGCTGTGGTTCCCACAGGCTGCCTCTCAGTCCTTGCGAGTTAAGCAGCATCTGCTCTTAGGGAGCCAGCAGCTTCACGGTCACGGACCAGGCCGACTGGCAGCAGGGAGGTAAGGACCGCGGTGTGGGAACAAGATGCAGCTCCGCTCCAGCAGGAAGGTGGGTCACCTCTGAAGGACGGTGTAGGGTTCACGGACAGTGCGAAGGTAACTCGAGACTTTCTGCATCAACATCTGAGACAAAGTCAGCCTCTTAACTGGTATATAAACTACTTTCCTCATGACAGCCCTTGTGCTCTGGTTTGATTTTGTGCACGCTGTATACAAAATCTATGGCTATTGAGTTAGAGTTAAAACTACCTGCCGAGAGAGTTCAGGATCAATGGCTACATTTACCATCTCGAGAGCTATCTGCTACCTAGGGGCGAGAGGAGTCTGCACACTGTGGCCGCCGGTGGAGCTCGGGCTGTCCGAGGAGGATGGCGTCGCGGCACTACCTGGAAATCATGGAGCTGGAGTGGGACTGGCTGGAGGAGGTGGTGGCGGCGCTCAGCTGGGAGAACCCGCTGTGGCTGGACTCCAGGCTGGTCATAGAACCTCTGCAAACAGACAGCGAGGGGACAAGGCATGAGGAACCAGAGCCACCCAGCTTCCCTTGCTGTCTGCTAACTTCCCGCCAGTCCTGCTCTCTACACCCCCCATTCAGCAACCTCCCTCCCTGGCAGCACTTACAAAGCAGGACAGCTGGGCAGGGTCCCCCAGGATGAGGTTCCCCAAAGCCTTGCTCACAGATGGCATCAGGAACTTCAATGATACATGGCACAGAGGCCACTTCCACCTGCCCCCGAGCCCTGCTGTCCTCACTGAGCTTACCCCTGCTGCACCAGGAGCCGTACCTGAAATCCTCGGACCCTATCACTTCGGTGTAGTACATCACTTTGCACTTGTGCGAGGAGACCTGCAGGGAGGCCAGCACGTCGTCCACGCGGGGCAGGTTGGTGGCAGCGCACGCCGGCATGCTGTGGAACTTCCACTGCAGGATGTAGAAGCCCGGCCACCGCGTCACATGGGAGCCCTGGAATGGGTCAAGCAGTGCCAGCTGAGGAGGTCTCCCTTCCAAGTGCCTGCCTACCGGGGGTCTTCTGACAGAGCCGAGGAAGCTGTCTCAGGTCTGCGCAGATTCAGCTGTGGTCACTGACCATCTGGATGAAGGACCTACTACTCTGGTTCATTACCAGGGTTGGTCCCAGCCAGGCCTCTGCTAGGGGCTGGGAAGGCCATGGGGAGCAACACCCTGAGTCTGTCAGCCCTAAGCACCTGCCTCAGCCTTATGAGGAGGAAGGCCAGGATGGATGACTTCAAGCGGGCCCCTTCACTCGACCTTGAGGGGGTCAAGGTCATATGGACCAGGCAATGATCTCAGACACCTTCCAATGATCTTACTACTTACTGTATTCTGTGTTAAAAGGATATCCATCTAAAACCAAGTGTCAAGCTGTGAAAATTACCGCCTCCATTAATTGTGGAATTAAATATTTTGATGTAGATTAAAATGCCCATTAATTTAAAGCTGAGTAAGATATTCTCCCGTACTCTTCTCCTAGACCACGAAGACACTGATATGAAAGGCTTATCCCCAAAAACTGTAAAGGGGGCAAAATCACACATCTGTTATGAAAGCCCAAAGCACCAAGAACTACCGATCTGGACACAATTCTCACAATAACTGGATAAAATTTCCTGATGAACTGGCAGAGCATTTTAAATAAACTAGAATGCCCAGTAAGGACAGTTTTAGTCACTTCCCTTCAGGGTGGTCTTCCTTGGAAGGAAACCAATGGCACGCGGTCAAAGGCACGTCGGGGGAAGCCTCTGAACCCCGCTGTGGAGCACATTCACTTTTTCCTTCCTCCCAAGAGCGTCTGTGAATATTCTTCTAAAGGAAACTCACACTCCTTAGACATTAAGTCACAGACCCTGCCCCAAACCACTGCTCAGGCCTGGGCCCTTTGTCTGCTAAGACTCACTTGGATCCCTGAGTCATTCTGATTGGAACTAGAACCAGACACACCTATCTGGTCCTGCAGACAGACAGTACCGGCCATGCAGGGCAGGAATGAGGTGACAGACTCCCTTCTCGAGACCAAACCACCGAGCTTAGAGTCAACGACAATTTTACCTGCACACTCTCTCCTTCCTTGCAGATCAGAGGCGACTCCACCATGCTGTAGTCCCGGCCCAGCTGCCAAACTCTATCTATCAGCTGCACGTTGTTTCCTCCCGGGGAAGTAATGCTGTGTGCCCCCAATGAATCCTTTTTGGGAGGCTGTGGCGACCTCTTCGAGTGATAGATGTTAAAGACAATGTCCCCTTTGCACACGTCAAAATCCCACGTAATCACCGAAGAGGCATCCACAATCTGGACGAGAATCTGGAGGAAGGAGAGATGGCGTCAACAACCAATGTAATGAGGGCCCCATGCCGCCCCTGTGCTGCCGCTCGGCCCAGGAGCTGCGTCCTATCAGCGGGTCTCACAGATTCACAATCGACCATCTGGGTTCCCACTCACCCCTTTCGTTCCTTCAACCCCTGGTTCCTGCTACGTGCCATGGGCCCTGTCTGTGGACTTGGTCAGCTAGACCTATAGCCCAAGATTTCCCATTACACCATCCTCAGATAGTGCTCTAAAATACTGGGTCCTGGATGTAAAACATGTCTCAACAATACAAGATGGACCTAAGTGAAAATGGTACACAAGTGGGTGGGTGGATTGCACTGGGCTGACGAGCTCAGGGAAGGCTCAGAGCAGGTGGAAGTTAAACAAAGAGCACATGGAGGAGGGAGGAAGGTCCCGCCAGGCAGGCTCCTCTGCTCACAGTGGGACAGTGGCAGCTGGGTGGGAGGAGGGGAGCTATGTGGCATGGGGGTGGGAGAAGAGCCGGGGGCTGAGTGACAGTCTAAAATCTGAACTGTATACGGCACCCATATAAAGCTTCTCAGCAGGGAATGATCAAGTTATAGTTTCAAGAGATTACTGAAAGAGGGACGTGAAAATTAACACCAGCTGTGGAAAGTGATGTATTCACTAAAAAATTCCAGCAGAAGCCGGGGCCTGTGCTCCCCTCCCCGAGCGCCTGGGGGCCCACGCTCCGCCTGGTCTCCAGCACTCTGCTTTGTCCAGCAGGCTTCTTCTACCGCACCACAGCCCCCCTTGCTGCAGAAACCACTGTGGAAGGTCTTGAAGAACAGGCCCAGAAAGCACAAGGGTCTAACAGCTAAGAACAGCAGAGCCCTAATGGCTTGGCCCTCTTTCTCCTCTGCAAAGTGCTCCTAGGACGAAGCTCTCCTGAGACGTTAACCCCTCAGCTGGCAGGCACCTCTTTCCTGCCTTCACAGTGGGGACATTTATTCAGCCTTTATTTTATATGTATCACTGTCCTTGATCTGTGATTTACCTAACACCCAAAGCAGAAATGAAGTTTTCACTGTTCTGATATAAAAAACCAGGCTACCCATTTTCACAGATACCCTGTGACTCAAGGGAAACATTATGCACTAAGTTCTCTACCCTGCACAAAGCGACTGCAACCTCAGGAAGGACAAACAAGAGCTCGGCCTCCTTGAGCTGCCTCTAAACAAGAAATACACTAATCCTCAAGACAGGTCGAAAATCAGAGATCCCGACAATCTGCCTGAGGCACAGCACATTTCTATCCCCACCTGTTCAAACCACGGCTACGGTATCCACCTGCCCACAAGTAATGGGCAGACCGTACCAGGAGACCCAGCAGCACGGACGAACAGTGGTGGCCAAGCAGGACAGCTCCTGCGGCTGAAGGCAGCAAGGGCTCAGCTCCTGGCCACCGCCACAGCCCAAGCCAGCAGCCCGCTCTCTGAACACGCAGAATGCCGCTGTCCTTTCCACAGCGGAGCCACCACCCCTGCGCTGGGGTCAGGAAAGGGCAAGTCGGCTGTGAGTCCCTCACCTCAGACCACCCATGACGACACAGGACACATAGTGCATGTAAAAACACAGGAGCACCCTTGCTCCTGCACCACAATGTGACAGCAAAAGGGCAAATTTCTCCTCACTCTATTAGACTAACAAAAATGGGGAAATTCCTTTGAAAATATAAATAGCCAAAACCCAGTCAACAAGAAACAAAATGAAACTAGTCTTGTGTAATTATTTAAAAAAACTAAACCTAAGCATCAGCTTGCTACGCACACCTCCACGTCCAGGCCTGTGAACTGAAGGCGAGACCACACCTCCTGCCCAGGCACTGACTGGGCGCAGCTCCCCCAATCCCAAGATGCCTGCTCAATGAAAGTCTAAAGAAAAGCCCAGTGCACACATTTGGTTCTACACTAACTCCTGCTGGGAAGACCCGTGATGATCTTCGTGGGGAGAGGAGAGCCCGCACCCGTGCTTGTCCCAAGGGCGCACCTCATGTGGGGCTCCTTTGAAAACGCTGGCGGACTGGTAGATGGTCTCGGTCCAAAGCTTGAGGTCTTCGTTTTCTAGCTCCTCTGCTGTCCGGTACAGGGACTTGGGCACCAGTCCACCCTCTGGCACTTCACACTACAAATGGAAACAGGGAGATGAAAGCTATGCAAACACAGTCCCTGAGAATCCAACGCTATGCCAACACCCGCCCGGCAGGCCGCCTCCCCAAAGCTGCTGAGGAAACGGAAACACTGGCGATGTCATCAGACACGGCAGCACTGACAGCGTGACTCGTAAGGCCCACTCAAATACACGCGCTCGCTTTACAGACATGGGAACGAGCTGAAGCTGGTTTACCGCAGAATTCACACTAGTGTATGAGGTACTGGGCTCAATTACTAAAGCTGGTTTACATAAGAATTACAAGCATTTACACTGCACTGTAAAGGGAAAACATTAACGTTAGAAAAGGGTTTTACTCTCAGCAACTACAGGCATTATTTTTACTACCTGGAATTACGTAATCAATTGCGAAAGCTTCATGTCTACCTCAAGTCAAGTGATCGGCCGCAACATCAGCCAAACAACGGTAAAGGGGAGCTTCTCCTGAACTGGCCTGAAACAGGCTATACGGAATCAGCTGCTGTGCATTTCACAAATTTCCTGACTGACCGTGAGACCACAGCTCGTAACATCCAGGTGCTTCCTGTGTTATCAGCCCTGCGAGGCGACCACACAGAAAGCAGACATGACGGACACCTGTCACAGTGGTGACGTCATGTCAGAAGACTGCACACGGACGTGTGAGCCGCCTCTTCCACCCCAGCCTGGACAGCAGTTCAGAGGGCGGAGAGGAAGCCTCGAAGGCCAGAGTGGGGCAACTTCCATCAGTTACAAGGACCCTCCCATCGTGAACACATCTCAGGGGTCAGAGTGACCAACTCGGCACCTCCGGCCGTGAGTCATGTCTTTTGCTCCAGCGTGATTCTTCCCATCATTACGAATGACCGCCTGGATGGTTCTCTTATGCAGCACAAACTGTTTGGGCTTCTACAAATCTGACCTCAGGGTAAGGTCATGGGCACTTGGGAAGTTAGGGGTGTATAATTTACTTGCTCCTTTGCACAGCACTGTGATACACCTGCAATTCCTTACAGCACAACTGATGAACCTGGAGCTGAATCTAAATGCTGTTTAAATTCCTCTAACCATCCCAAGAGACTTTCCTAAAAACCTAATTCGTTAACTAAATACACAAGTCAAATCCATGTGTACACATTTTAAGAAGGTAACTACTTACTATGAAGACTGAGAGAGAGACTTTCTCTAATAAGAACCCAACTTACAAAGCCACGACTCCCCGTGGGCTCCAGCAGGCGCTCCGACAGGTCGCCGGGCCTCTGCAGGCATGGGCTCCTTCCACCCTCCCATCAGGCAGGCAAGCGCCCAAGGCTGTAAGGTCCTCGGGGACTACACTTCTCTGATTCCCTCATCACAGTGCAGGGTACAGAAGTGGAGGCATTTCCCCTATAATCTAGCAAGTCAATGTGCTAAAAATTCCAAGTTCATAGAAGAGAATGGCGTCCCTAACATATCACCTTTACAATGTTACCTGACTTACTGTCAATGGTGAAATGTTTTTGAGAATCACTTTGATGTTTTAATGGTGTTTTTAAAACATGCACAGCTCTTCCAAAACAGCTAGAGCATCTGATTCGGGGGACAAGCACTGTATGATCTCACTTACATGTGGAATCTAACAAAGTAAACTAACAGATATCTGACTCTCACAAAGCTGAGTGGATAAAGCAAGCTGCAATTAGATTAGACTAAAACAAGTTCTCATCAGCATTTAACAGTGAGGAAATGGCATGTTATAAAAAATTACCTTTTGATTAAATTACCTCTCTAGCCATAGAGGACTAGAGAGAGGGCAGCCAAAAACAATAGAAATAAAAACAAAAACTCTAACCCCGAAGTTCTGAAACTCACTCGTGCAAACCAACATCCTCTCCTCCCTGGTGAGCAGCCAACGTGCAGGACCCCTGGGTACATACCATGCACTCCCCGCCCAGGAAGTCGGGAATGACCTCCTTGTCTATGTAGTCCAGCAGGCCCCCTGGGCCCTGGTAGTCGTTCCCGGCATAGATAAGGAACTTCCTCCTGGTGTTGTCATCAATGAATGGACTGACCTGCAAGTAAGAGAGATGCCCACAGTCATCTTTGCTTGGCTGCCTGATTTTCAGAGATTAAATTGCAACGTGGTATTATGAGTGGGGGAAAGGGAGTGTGTTTGACATGCTTTTTTTGTAAATTCCATTTGCATGACATTAAGACACTCAGGAATTCTTTCTTCCCTTAAACAATCTGAGAAATGTTATGTCTTCCCATGCTAATTTTGTTGTTTCCTAACTAGCTAGGACTTACAGCCACAGGCACAAGGATATGAATACAATTGTGTGTGCCTCACAGATGCTAACAGCTGCTGGAAAGAGCATCCAACCCACCAGTGTCCAGAGGACGGGAAACACCCGGGGAGCGCGCAGTATCAGCAGGCGGCCCAGCGTCTCGGGGTAGTTGGCCTCCACCACCTCGATGATGCGCAGCAGGGCCTTGACACCAGGTCTCCACAGGTGGCGCATGTTCAGTCCCTCCAGGTCCACCAGGCAGGTCCAAGAACTGCAGGTGCACAGACATGTTACTGCACAGATGGCACACTTAGCAAACTAGGTCCCATAGCTATTTTTTTTTATATATATTATAAAATAGTCATTTATATCCCTTTCTGGAAAATATTCATTTTTAATATCACAGTGTTATGAACCAGACTTACGTCTGCTTGCACAGGCATGTAGGATCAGGGTGGCGGGAACCCCTGCACTCCCAGAATGAACAGAGCTAATGGACAATGAACAAAGCCTTCAGTCTAACACGCTCAGTGGTCCAGCAGGTAAGGTGTGCGCTGTGCTCACAGGCCAAGCCGCTTCCACTGACCCCAGGGTGGTAGCACTCAGACTCGAAGCCAGACTGAACCACAATAAGCTCTCCAACAAGTGTTCACTGAGTCAAGCGCTGTCTAGGGAGCTGAGGCTACTGCATGAACAGACCCTCAAAACCCTGCCCTCAGGGACTCCACTCCAGTGACCCACCGCACGCACCTTCCAGGTCAACCTGACTCACTGCGCGTTTTCAAAACAGTTCCCCATAATCAGAAGTATGATTTAGGAACACAATTTTTTCCCCACCCTCCCCACCAATAAAATAAAACAGACACACCAAAATCTGCAACCCTGGGCTCCCAAGGGCCAAGCAGACCAGATAAGCCAACCCACTTGGCCTGAGGGATGGCAACACCGAGGGTCCAGAAGTAGCAAAACCTACCAGCATCCCTCATAACTACCACTTACATGCTTATCTGCCTTCTACCCTTTAGAACACTATGAAAAACAGTCAAATATTTAGACTTGGTTCTAAAAATCAGACCAGATTTGGGTTCTCAGAATCAACTAGAAATATTTAGGTTATAGTCTCAATAAGCTGGAAGAAAGAGCAAAATTGCATGTCTACCTGATGGGCCGGCCGAAGACTTTCGTGTTTTCTTCACACCGCCTTAGCCCTTCCTCATTGATGGAGAGGACCTACGTGCAAGAGGCCACAGAAACCCTGTGTTAGTCCAGATGGTGACGCTGCAGCCGTAACACAGCACACACTGTAGGTGAGCAGGCAAACCAAAGCCATCTGCTTAGATTTCCTGACATACACAAAACATAACTCCAACAGAGAACATCTCGCTCTGAAGAGAGTACTTCCTCTGTGGCAAAAGGGATGTTGAGTGGGGTCACAGGAGGCGGTGGTGCTGGGGGAGGGGAGAGGGGGCATGGCCTGCTGCCATGTCTTCCGAAAGAGTACCTCTGGATCAGCCGAAGGTAAGTGTCTGCTGAGCAGGGGACACTGTGACACCACACGTACCCACCCAGAGAAAGGGCGGCGTCAGAATGATCTGAAGCATGGCTGGAGGGAGCACTGTTTGAAGACAAACCTCCCCTTACGCGCTCTGCCCACACTTTTGTATTTCGTTCTGTGCACGTGTATGTACATGCTTGCACGCACGCATAACCACACACAGTGACAGGGGCTCATGGAGTCCACAGCAAAATGCCAACAGTGGATATTGTAGGATGACTGGATTATAGCTGTGCCTTTTAAAGTTTTGTTTTTTAATTTAAGGAATGCATTCTCCTCACAACTGCCCACCGTGGAGGAGGCAGCAGACAGGGTAAGCCTCAAGTAGGGACGGGGAAAGAGAGATTTATCTCGTCCAGATCAAAGATGCTGGGAGCCTGGAGCAAGGAAGTGCCGGCGGAAAGAATACCATGAAGAGGTCTGCTGTCAGAAACAGCTGAAAAGGAGAGTTAGGGTGGCAGGGGAGGGACCAAGTCCATGTGGGCGTGAAGGTCAAAGATGACTCGGAATCAACTCCCAGGTGGTCATCCTGAGTGGCTATAGTGATTTTGGTTGATGCTTCCCCGTGAAAAACATTTTTATAACTTCTGTGCACACTTTTGAGGTTTTTCACATATACTAATAGATTCTCCTTTCTGATTACAAAAGCAACGCATGCTTGTTATACAGGACAATTATAACATCCCAACCCCGCTGGCAGAGAAAGGACATGTGAGGCCTAAACGCGCCTGGCGCCTGGGCCACGAGCACTTACGTATCTCAGCAGGGCCTCCTCCCCGAGGGCTCTCACCAGGCCTTTGGTGTCCATCTGCCCCAGCCTGAGCACATAGAGGGGCCGCCCGTCTGCAGGAGAGATGAAGGAAGCTATTATCACCAGCACCAGTGCTGCCATGAGGCCGACAGGAAAACGTGTCTTATACCCCAGACGAGCTTCAAGCCCTTTCCTACTGAGAAGCAGCAGCTGGCTTGCGTGTGTGTGCAGGAGTCCCCCCCAAATTCTTCCCCAAAAAACTGTAAAAGGGAAAAACAAAAGCCAACAACAGAGCAGCTTAGGGTGGTGGGGACACCTCTGCACAGATGAGGGGCCAGGGAGCCCCACCTCTGTCTGCTCTAACCACCCGCACCGCCTGCCGCGCTGGGCTCGCTCCTCACTTGCACACCGGGCCGAGCAGAGCTCCGCCTTCCAGCGGCGGGTGTCAGAGCACCCACAGCAGCTTTCCTGTGAACAGTGTATTGTTCCTCGCCTCACAGGCTACCAAAAATGTCATGTCAGGATTTGCAAAAAGCCAGCTTCCCTTAATTCTCACCCCCAGAACCAAGACAAATGAGGACTCTGAAGAAACCTTAAACCCACAGCAACCGGCACATGCTGACTCTGCTTCTTTATAGCCGGGACCTAACGGGTGGAGCCTGGGAGGACCTAACTCATCGTGAGCCAGCTGCAGAGGGAAACCACCTTGATGGCCAGTGTGTCCCAGAGTGAGTGGTTCCTAGACCCTGCCTCTCGGTGCCGGAGGAGAGCAGCGGAAAGGACACGCATGGATGCCGCTGCTGAAAGGACACTAAGACGCCAGAGGGTCAGTGCTGCCATCCTGACACGGGCCCACCTGCTCCTTGTATCTACTACCTGGTGAACTCCGCCTCCTAGGCCCTAGGAGAAGGTGGGTCTAGAGCTGTCCTACTTAAGCAGAAAGGGCTTTTCTGTGCTCCCAAACCTTGTTGAAAATAAGATTTACAGAAAGTCTCTCCCAACACTGGTAAGATACATTTGTTACTGTCTTACTACCAAACTTTTTAATCATCTGAGGATCACAAAGTGGAATATATGCTTCTAGTAAAAATTAATAAACAATTAATCTGGAGAGGTACGAAAGATAAAAGCCACGAAAAGGGGCACATCAGAGCTGCTCGGTTGTGAAGGGACCGGTCTGGAGGTGGGAGGGATTCCTGTGGTCTCTCCAGGTTTGGGATTCCCTCTGCCCACTGTCACTCTGAGTCAGGAAACAGGGAGCGTGCCTGGGACAATGCAGGCTGTCCCACACAGCGTGACATATAAAGCAATAGAATGAACCGCCCACACGCCATCCTTGGCTTCAGCTGTCACTGTCTGTGGCTTATGTCTGTGCTCATCCCACAGACAGAGCTGCTGTTCTCCCTGTTCTGGTGCAGAAACTCCGGCTCCATTTTCACAGCTACGTGTAGAAAGAAGTCTCTGAAAAGCTCTTCTCCTAGCACTGCGCTCCTGAAAAAACTGCCTTCAGCATTTTGGTTTTTTAAGTATTTCCAAAAAGTCCACGTAATCAAAAAAGGAGCTGAAGGAACTTTCCTGAGGGCAACATGAGCCATGAGGAAGCAGCAAGGGCCTCAGCCCTTCCTCACCCTGGGTGGGGGAGGGGGTATTTCCCAGTGGGTTAGGAGTGCAGTGCTGGCAGTGATGAACTGGACATCACTTGTTTAGGCTGCGAGAGGGAGGGACAGTGCCCACAGTTCTGTGAAAGGGGGTCTCCGGGCATATCCTGAGTGCAGAGCTCACACTACCTTTGTCGTGATGGTGCCAGCCTCCCGCATAGTAGTCCTGTAGGACCTGGGGAGGGTTCCAGGTATCGAGGATGTAGTCCACCTGGTGCTGCTTGCGCCAGGTCAACGACTGACACATGATCTCCCTGGCTTTGTCGATGTTGAAGTCCCGGGCTCGCAAGAACCGGAGAATGTGCTCATCTTTGGGGATCTATTGGGAGACAGAGACGTTCCTAAGCAATGTTAAAAGTTGCTAACGGAAAAACAAGTTACCAAGGGACTAAGACTTTCCTCCTCTCACTTCTTATCAAGAGTGGGCTGCTTTATGGCACTGTTTAAAATCAGCCCTCCTAAACTTCAGAAAACCAGCATTGCGAGTCCAAATATCTCTACAGTATTCCATTTAGTTTAGTAATGCCGGAAATGAACGAGACACACAAATATGCCTCTGCTCGCTGCTAGTCCCCATTAGTCTGAGGCTTATTATAAAAACCTGATTCCTTATGAGGCTAAAATTCTACTAAAAACCTCAAAATCAAAGCTCAAACAGTTCTAATTTCTCAACAATCTGTGAACTCCTTCAAACCTTCTAGACATGTAACTGTTGTCAAGTGAGATCATTCTCTGTAAAACTCCAGAAAAACACAGCTATATACACAGAACAGCACCTGCCACGAGGGACTTGGTGCCACACAGATACAGATGCAGCAACTTTTAGATCCGGGCAGTCCCAGCTATGGCAATCAGGGCCAGGGACTCTGAGGAAATGTGGACGGGACCAGGCCCTCGGCTCCCACAGCAGCATGCTCGTGGGGCTGACTCTCACTTTGCCCTTGTGTGTTTCCTGGAGCCACTGGCGAAGCCGGATCAGGCAGCTCTCCTGCAGTGGGGTCAGGTCACCCAGGTATCTCTTGATGTAGTCTGCGTCCAGTTTGTCTGGAATAGAAGTCACAAGACATCATTTACAAAAGCACACAGGACCCGCAAGTACTCCAGAGCCCTGCTCAGTGAAGCTGACATGGTCCAATCTCAGAACTCAGTGACTCTACAGGGACCACAGATAGAAACCGGCCACCACAGGACACCTCAAAGACAGCCTTTAGCATAAAACCACTGACCACGCCACAGGTAAACGTGCTGGATCTATTCTATTCCCTAACTGCCAGCAGGTCCCCTCTATGTGCAAAATCTCAATACTGTTCATGACACAACAGCCATAACAGTTATTTAATGACTTTCAATTCAAAGTTATGTAAAGAACTTGTGTGATATAAAACTATGAAATGAAACAAATGGACCTAAACCTGTTCTGAATATAGCTGTGTTCAAGAATACAAGAAATCTTTTCCACGATAAAGTAACATAAACTGCAAAAATTAGGTAGGAAATTAAGTAGAGCAAAGAAAACTGACAAGGTACAAAAACAGAGCGTATCCTCAAACCAATGAAACACCGGCCACCTGCCTCCTGTTGAAAGCAGCGAATGGCACAGGTCAGCTCTGAAGGAGGAACATGGGGAAAGAAACACCAAAGGTTTAACACAGCTCCTGTGTTTTATTTTACAATGGGCATCACTCTGAGAACTGAAAAAGGGGTGGGTGGGTGTGGGTGTGTGTGTGTGTGTGTGTGTGTGT